GGTCCCTGTCAGATTTGAAGGGAGAAGCCAACTATTGAGACTGAAGCATAAAACTCCCTTCTTGAAAACCTGGTAAGGAAATCCTGACAGCTCTAATTTTACACTTTTCAAATATTCATCCTAAATCTCTAAATTTCATAATAAAAACGCCCAAGTTTCAGCTGTTGACTCCACATACCTGGTTACATCTCTAACCTGGAGGAGGCTGAGGAGCTTTGCTCTGTTGTAAGGTAAAAGTGGCTCTGCTTTGCAGGAATATCTCAGGATCTTTTCCCCCTCACTGGCAATGCAAATGATGCCTGAAGAAAATCTGCAAATTGGCTTCATTCACAGTTAGAGCAAATCTTCCTCCTCCCTGCCCACAGGAATGATCTCACACTGCTCTAGGGAATGTCATGACCCTGTTAAATGACAGATTAAAATATGAAATGCACAATAGTTCTTTGATTCCTGATTTGGTTTGTATTTCAGGAGTGCAGAGCTGGGGTTCTGATCTCAATCCTCAGTTATTTTTGACTTTTTCAATGCCAGACTAAACAGTTTAGAATTACCATGGTTTGTGATCAAATCATCCTTATTGCTGCTTTCCCAGGAAGTTTCATTATATGGAAGCAATGGTTAGGTTTGGATTTTCACAGGTTGGGAGAAATTCAGCTTCCACATGGGTTTTGAGGGATTTTAGGGCAGATGAGGTGATTTCCCAGAAGCAGCTGTACTTTGGGATAAATATCACGGACTTCAGATAAAAATGGGTGTCCATAAGGACCTTCCTGCAGTGGGAAATGCTGAGTTTCTGGATTAGCAGTGTTCAGAGTCTGGAGCAGGAACTGCACCTCAGGGTTTGTGTCTCTGTCATTGCTGATGTCCAAAATCAGAGCATTACTGAAAGCAGGGATCTGATTCCAGTTTTTCTCTCTCTCCACAGAGATTACCACAGCAAATTGAGGAGAGGAATGAAAAATTAAAGAAAGAAATGTTGGGTGAGTAGAATGTACTTCCATAAAAACCTTCATAATCTACTAGAAAAAAATGCATGAATAGAATGTCTTGTGTAAAATTTAAAGGAGGTAAATCTGAAAGGAAATATTTATTCAGTGTTAAAACTCCTGATTTCTTTGTAGTTCTCAGTTGCTTGGTTTCACCTGCAGTAAACTGAAGACAAGGAATTCTCCCAGTCAGAAAAAGTTCATGAGTTCCATTTAAAGAAAGAAAATTTAAAACCTTCTAAAATAATTTCATATTGATGTGTGTAAGAACTGGGGAAAATGATGTGAACCAACCCAACTGCTCAGCCCTTTCTCCCTGTAAATAAACCCTGAAAGGGATAAACCAGGGCTTTCACTAAACCTGTCCCTAAAGGAACTCCACCAGCTGGAATAACTGGGGATGTTTGATCTAGGGGCTGAAGAAATAAATGTATTCTTTCTGTAGCACTTCCAGCCCAGAGACCTCCAAGTGTTCATGTTTGCCTTAGTTTATTCAGCATTTCATTGCTGTTTGGTTGGAGGATGAATTGGACCTAGCCTGGGTTAGCACCAGGAGTGGAATTACAATTCCTAAGGCAGTGTTTGGCTGTTCTGCAGAAAATCAGGTTAAACAAACTCAGCCTGTTTCACACTTGATTCTTGATGTATTTGGGAAGAAGAGACTGTTCCAGCTTATGCTGATGTTTTCCTGCAATTCCTTTTCTGCAGCCTCTGATTTGCTCTGGCTTTGTTCTGCTCTGACCTAGCAGAGTGTCAGTGAGGCTTTGCAGAGCTTTGCAGGATCAGATCTGCTTCCCCCATTGTGCTGAGAGCAAGCCCCAAATAAAGCAGGTTAAGGGTGATGGGGCTATAAATAAATGACAAATGCAGAAAATCTCCAGAAGGATCAGGCCCATTGGTAGGACATGGGATGGGTTTCAGCACAAAGTAATATGAAAATAATTCCTGATCTTTGCTGAACTCTGAAGGGCCTCACTAATCACAAGGGATTTGACTGGAATAGTAAATCCAACCCTAGTTCTGCACTGCTGGCTTTTTCCTGGATGTCAGGCTAGGTGGGATCTCTTTGAACACTGTTAATACTTTAAAAGTGGCAGTTGAGATTTCAGAACCGAATTGGGCTTTTGGGAACCACTTCAGACTGATTCTGGAGCAAGAAATCCCTTCTCAGTGATGTCACACAAGGAGTTCAAACAGACTGAGAGCAGGGTAGGACAGCACAGGACCTGTGTTCATCCCCAGCCTCGTGGGGGACAGGATTGTCACAGCTCTGGTTAAATGACAGTGATGGTGGCAGGGGGTTGAGCTCAGCACTGCCTGAGCTCACTGCTGCCACACAAGCTGAGGGGTTTCTATCAAACATTCTCTTGACATGAAGTCAGGAATGTGGGCAGTTCCTTCTCCTGAGGGATCCAAGATTCCCTGGGTGCCGTTAAGGGAAGCAGTGGTGATGCCATGGAGGAAGGAAACACTTCCCAAGGTTTGTAAAATGCTGCAGCTCTGTCTGAGGTCAGGGGAGAGCCCTGGGGGGGGCTTAGATGGGAGTTCTGGAAGGAGGAGAGAAGAGAAACTCGATGGAATGTGGTGGTTCAGAGATTCCTCTGGAATGTTTTGTTGTGCAGTGAATTTGTTTGAAGCTGTTCCCACTTTTCCACCCTTTCTGATGGCATTTCCCACTGCCAGAATGGAGCTGGTGGGGCTGGGGCTGAGTGACTGGGCTTGGGCAGTGCCAGGGGGACATTCCTGCCTTCCCACAGGGCACCTCAGGTGCCTGGGTTGTATTCCAGACTTTTGGGCTCCAGGACAGCAAATCTGAGGCATCCTGATGGTTCCAGGCTGGGCCTGCTCCAGGAGCACTGACACTGAACTGAAATTAGGAACAATGTCCCAGTTTGTGCTTTGTCTCTTTGGGATATTGAACTGATCCTCAGTCAGGGAATTGGCCTGTCCTGGTTTTGCTGAGCTTTTATTCTTTCCACTCAAACAAGCCCTGGGTTGCCCAACCACCTCCCACTGCCACGAAGCTGGAGCTGTGTCCAAACAAACCCAGATAAATGGAGTGCATCCTCCTCCTTCCCAAGTGTGTTTCCTGTTTCCCAGGGCTGCAGCTCATTTCTGTCAGAGGCTGAACCCCTTGTGCAGTGCTTGTGTGTAAATAACCCAGAGCACACATTCCTGGCTGGATTTTCCTTATGGGCCATGTGACTGCTGAGGTTGATGTCACCAGAAAAATCCTGTTCTGTGACCAAGCCGAGCCCACCGGTGCTGTGTGTCCTCAAGGATCTCCCTTTCCCAAGGCTGACATTTGTATTTCAGTTATTTCCATGTTTTGAGCAGCTCTGCTGCCACTGAAGTTTGCTCAGGATGAAGTGACCCCTGAATTCACATCAAAGAGAGCTGGACCTGGAGCAGCCTTGGGAAGGAGCTTTCCAATCCAAGTGGCTTTTCTCCTTTTTCCATCAGCATCCTCTGCCTCAGTGACTGAGGATGTGAATATTTTCTGGGGGGTTTTGTATTTCTCTCCTTAAAGCCAACAATTTCCAGTCTTCTTTAGAGACTTTTAGAATTATTGTGATATCTAGGAGCACTCCTTTGGGGAGAGGGGAGCTTTGGAATGGTTTTAGAGCACCTCACCTGGGCTTTCCTGCCAAAATGAGATTTTCCCAGCTCCCTGAGATCAGCAAAGGTATTTATTAGGCTTTGTGCCTAAAGAATTATGGGGTTTATTTGGGAGTTTTTCTATTGACAGTTATGTTGTGTTTGCAGCTGAGCTGCTGAACCCCAACCCTGCACAAGGTGATTTTAAGTAAATTTTTTGTTAAACCAGAGCCAAATTACAGTTACAGTTCAGTCCTCATTTACCATTTAGGGAAGGGAAAAGGATTTGCCCTTGCTCTTTTAATTGCTTAAAAATGTTGGTAATACAAGAAGTTACACAAAGAGGAGACCTCATCAGGAAATTTGTCTTTTCTCCAAAAGAATTCTTTACACAAGCAAGATGGAGCTTTTCAACTTCCAAACCCCACATTAACACCAACAACTAAGCCAGAATTATTGCCAGAGAGACTGAATAGCAATTAATTTTGGCTGTTACATCTTAATGTAAATTGTGAGTAATCTTTTCCTGCATCTGCCTCTTTCAATAGGGTGTTGAATTGCAGTTTAGGTGAGTAATGAATCACAGACTTCTGAGCCCTAAATTGATTTTTACAGCTCTGTTTTCTTGTTAACCTCCGAATATTTGCTTTGCTGAAGAACCTGAATTTGCTGGAGTTGCAGGTGGAAAATAAACAGGGTGTGTTTGAAAGAAGAAGAGCAAAAAGTGTGAGAATAAGGGCAGAGGAAGGAGAGGGTGACCCTGCCTGGGGACAGGGAATGTTGGAGGCTGGGCAGCCTCTGCAGCTGAGCCCCAGCTCCACGTGGTGCCTTTTCCTTCCTCCCAGCACAGGCTCTGAGGGAGCTTTTCTTTAGGAGGGGGTTGCAGTTCACTACAAGCCTTAATTTAGGGCTGAAAGGAGAGGAGGAGACAGAGCTTCCCTACAATGCTGGGTCTGTGTGTGCCAGGACAGCAGCAGCAGCTCCGGGCTGGAGTGCCCGGAAAAGCCAAGGCTTTCTTCTGCCTCATCAACAATTCATTCAGTGTGGCTGCCCCAGAGGCTGCCTGGGGAGGGGGACAGCAGGAAGGTGAGCTGGGATGTGCTGCTGGAATTCTCATAAAGCCCCAAATCCTGCTGCTCCAGTGCAGGCTGGATCCTGAGGCAGTCAGAGGATGTTCATGGGCTCTGGGAAAAAAAAAATCCAGCTCCCTGCAACTGGAAAAGGCCTTTCCCAGGGTCCTGCCAGGCAAACTCAGTGCAGGTGGGAGCTTTTGGAAAGCAGCCTGGAGAGCCAAACCTTGAGAGGGCTTCAACTTGTCCAAAGTTCTGCTTTTCCTTTGGGAAATCTACAATTCTGCACTGAAACCAGGAGGAAAAAGATGGGGTTTTTTAAACTAGTCTTCTTCTTCCTTTGTGTTGTCATGCCAGCAGTGAAGTTGTTACCTCTGCTTCCTGTTTCACTTTATCTATTCTCTAACTTCTATATAGGATTTTTTTTAAAGGATGTCCTTTTGTTGTCCTTTCCCTCTTACAGCTGTGGCAAGATTCATTTCCCAGAGTCAGGAATCACGTGTGATCCATATACTCACAGGACTTTATTAACTCTCATACCCTGTGGATATTTAACAGTGATTTTTAATTCCTAAAGAGCCTAAATATTAACAAAATGCAGAGATTTCCTCAGCATTTACCTGTGATGGATAAATCAGCAGGGCTGGATGTAGTTGGGTGTGATTCCATGGAAGTTTTCCCTCTGCTCAGCTCTCACTGTGTTCTCTTGGAATGTCATTGCAGGCAAACTGAAGGATCTGGGTAATCTGGTCCTGCGCCCCTTTGGCCTGTCAACAGAGAACTTCCAGGTCAAACAGGATTCATCAACTGGCTCCTACTCCATCAATTTTGTTCAAAACCCCAACAACAACAGATAACATGGATTCAGTTTGGCTCTGCACATCCCATGCCAGGATCCAGCAAACCAACACCCTCCACCCCCAGGGGAAAGAGGAGACTCAGCAAACTCATTTCCCAGCTTGTGAAATTATTTGAATTATTTGTGGATGTAAAGTAACTCATTCAACTTCTCATAGTGCTAACTGTGTCCAGTGTGTGATTTATTCTTTTTTTTTTATATTTTTTCCCCTTCCCATGCGGTGTTTGGCTTTTCCAAGAGGCACTTCCTTGGTTTGGCCCACTCATTGGTGGCAGCAGCAGTTCAGGGAATTCCAAAGGCTGGAACAAAGGCTGGTGGTGTCCTGGGAATGGGGAAATCCAGCAGCAGCACTGCCCCACCCTCAGCTCTGCCCTGGAATCGTGGATCTTGTAATAAAGGCTTGGTGCTTCTGCTCTTTGGGTTGTGAGGTTCTTGCCTGGGCTGAGCCCTCCCCAGGGTGGGTTTGGAGTTAAAGGTCCCCCAAATAACACCTTGCAGGACATTCATGGGAAGCACTGGGTTTTTTGGCCCTGCTTGCAGCAGTGTTGTCATTTAACTTCATGCCACCCTTCCAGCAGTTTGTTTACTGGGTATTCATTTTTCTGAGGGTAACAATGGCATTTTGTGCCTCCCTCTCTATCTGCACACCTTGTAAAGGTCCCTTCACCTGAAATGTGCTTGTGTGAGATCCATTCATGTTGCAGGGATCCACAGGAGCTGATTGCAGAAGGTCCCCACAGTAACTGGACCTTGAGGACTTGGAAATGTTTCTGGAATGAGATGATCTCTGAGGTCCCTTCCAGCCCAAACCCCAGGCCATGATATAAATATAAATATATGTATATATATCTATTTATGTTTTGTTGTCGTAGTTCATTCAGGTTTTGGAGAAGGTGCCTTTTGTAACTCCTGCTTTCCTGGGTTTTTATCAGTGCTGAAGTGTTTAATTGGAGGCAGAGTCTGCAGTTGTCTCCGTGCAGATTTCAGTACATGATTTAATTAAATAATTAGCAGTGGCTGCCTTGGCTATTGGGTGTCATCTCCAATTCATTTCAGGAAGTCTCTGTGTGTCTGAAATTCAGGGGTTCCAGCCTTTCACTGGAAGGAAAAGCCTTTCCAGGCACAGCAGGTTTGGTGCTTTAATGTCATTTTTTTGTCCCTGCAGCTGTGCAGGGGTTTTTTTGATTGTTAAACTCTGTCCTGCTGTATTTTTAGCTTAGTTTTAGTTTAGAGCTGGGCCTGAGGTCAGATGAGCTGTGAAACCTCTGCTGCCTGAGCTGAGCTCTGCAGGGAAGGCTCAGTGGCTTGGGATTAGTAGAAATGTTAAAAATCTTCCCTAAAACCTGGAGCAGTGCAGGACAAAGGTGTCCAGGCTGCTGTCCTGGTTCCACTCACCTGCAGCATCCCAGCACACTCCTGGCATGGACAAAACTGGAACCACTTTAGAACTACCCTGGATGCTTTAAATTTTAAATTTTTCAAATGGTTTAAAATTTCCTTGCTCTGTCCAGTGTCACTCACCTGTGGGTGGCTCTTGTGCCCAGTTACACCAGTGGCCTTTTCCAACTTGCTGCTTCAGGGACAGGAGTTCTGTTCCTTCCACTCTCTTTCTGCTTCACCCCTTTGAAGGCCTGGGGAGCTGCAAATATTTCTTCTCAGCTGGAGACTGGGGAATTTCTGGGAAACAGAAGCACAACAAAGCTTTTGAATTTCCTACCTGCTGTGCAAACACATCATCAAATCATTGTGCAACTCCCCTGCAGGATGCCTGATGTGCACCTGGAGTTTTCCAATGAAGGGAAGGGCAGAGGAAGCAGGACTGCAGCTGATTAGTGTTTGTAATTTAATTGGATTGTGTGAAAGTCACTGGGAATTGGGCATGCTGGTGCTGAGGACTCAAACCTCCAGGTCATCCCTCCCTCCTCAGTGCCACTCTCCAGCTGGACCAGAAACCTCTGGCAGGTGTTATCTGTCACCACAGCAAGTTCTCCAGGCAAAATTCCAGCTAATTGCCTGAAAGTCCTTTTGCATTGTCCAAATCCTGAACAAGTGCATGTATCTTGCTTTTGATTTTAAGTGGTTTTTTATGTCTAAACCAGTCCTCACAGCTGCCACCAGTAAAATAACTGGTGCCTCCTCCTGGTGCCATGGCCACAACTCAGGGAGTGCCAGGGAGTTTTGAGTCACACTTGTTGGATTTACAACCTCTAATAGGAAAAAATCTCTTTTATGAAACACAATCTTTTAAATATAAGTGCTCTTAAACCCAACAGTTCCTTGCTCAACTGTTCCAACAGTTACTCACCCTCCTGGTAAGCAGCATGTGCCTCTTTTCCAGCTGGAGTTGTCCATCCTCAGCTCTTCCCCTTTGTTCCTCCTTCCTTTTCCTGCCAAACACAAAACCTTTCAGTACCTGGCCTTTCCCCTGAGGTGTTTGCACAGAAATAAAGAGAATGTTGGTCTCGTCCATGAGCTGGGCTAAACCTCTCCCTGCCAAGAACTTTCTCCAGGATTTCCATAACACTTGTGGCTCAGACTTTCCATTTTTGACACCAGAACTGACACTGGGATTTGTCTCTGGTTTATGCAGAGGTTCTCACTCACTTCTCTGTTTGTCCCCTCAGACACTTTGGCCTGCTGATGGACTGAGAATCACAGACTGCCAGGAAGGGACATTAAAGCTCATCCAGTTCCACTCCCTGCCATGGACAGAGACACCTTCCAGAGACCAGGAACACTTTCCATAGACCAGGAACACTTTCCATAGACCAGGGACACCTTCCACAGACCAGGGACACCTTCCAGAGACCAGTTTGCTCCAAGCCCCATCCAACCTGCCCTCATTCCAGATCCTGCTCAGGAGTCCCAAAAGGCCTGGCCCTCAGAGGAGCTGAACACCTGCAGTTCCCTCCATCCCACCAAAGATTTGGAGCATTTAACCTCTCTTAAAAGATAAAAAAAGCAGCTCCCCTTTTCTTCAGCTCTGTCTCCCAAAAACCCAGCCCCAAGTGAGGCAGCCAGAGGCCACACTCCAGGGCAGGGTCAATGGGACAGACACAGGCCCAGCACAGCCAATCCCTCCTACCCAGCAGGATCCAAAATTCCCCCAGCTCATCCCTTGGGATATTCAGCATTTGACAAAGCACCGAGCTTTGAAGCCCCCAATCCTTCCCTCCTTGATTAGCACAAAACTTCCTGGGATCTACTTGCCCCTGATTAGCAGGGAGAGAGGAGAAGCTGCTGGTCACCAGTTCCTAGGCTTTAATTAGCTGTGTTATTCCCAAGGGATTACTGCTGCAGCCAAGAACCAATTATATCCCAGAGCCTCCTCTGCAACATGGGCAAAGATGTGCTGGGGCACATTTAATGTGCAGCATTCATACATTGCTCATTCACAAGCTTTCCCTGTTTGGATGGATCCCAACATTTTCTTGCTCAGCAGCTTCATTTTTCCCACCCTGGGCAGGGCTGGGACTGCTGGGGGGGCTCTGGGCAGCCCTTGGCACAGGAATTCTGGCACTAAGCCAGAGGCATCACTGCCTACCCTGACAAAGATTAAAGGCTCTAAATCAACTGAAAATTAAAATAAACCCCCTTTTTCCTGATTCTGCACATTCAGTGGGAATCTCCCGATTGGAAACCATCTGCAGCTGCAGCCTGGAGTCCCCAGAACTGCACATTTCTCCCCCGTTGTTTCTCAAGGAGACAATTTACAAATCCTGCACTCCCTACATGGATGCAGCACGATTAGGTTTGCCTTTCCTGGCCTGGCTGGGCCCAGTGCTCTGTTCATGGCTCCCAGCACTCCCTGCCTGGTGTCCAGGGGCTCTGGGAGCAGCTGCTGGCCAGGATTGACCCCCTGGCAGCCACAGAGCCAGGAAGGATCCAGGAGGGAGCCGTGCCTGCTCTGGGATAGGCACACACTGGTCAGTGGGTTCTGTTCCTGCCTCTTGTCAGTGAACTGCAGCTCCCCCCTCCCTGCAGACTCTCCAGGGAACAGGGATGGCAGGAACAGGGATGGCAGGAAGAAGGGGAAATGCTGTTATCTCGTCTGGGCGGTGGCTGCTGGAAGAGCTTCCTAAGTGTATTCCTGAGTGGTGCTGGCGAGTGCCCAGGAGGTCCCTGGAGAGGCAGCAGGGCCAGGGCTTTTCTAATTGCATTTGTCCCATTTCCATGAGCTCCTTTGGCTGTGACCCTCCATCCTGGGGCACTTCTCTGTCTGAGAGAAGAAGAATTGCAGTATTTGGAATTAAGGGAAAGGAGGAGGCTGGGAGCTCACAGATTTTCTGCCCATGGCTCCAGCCCTGAGCTGCCCTTGAAGCGACAGCTCTTGCTGTGCCCCAGCACATTTGTGTCCCTGCTCCCAGCTGGAATGCAGCTGAGGCCTTGGAACCTGGAGCCAGCAGCAGCTTTTCCAAGGCAGGATGCAGCTGATGGCTCCTGACAGGATCCTGCAGTGTTAATGCAGAAGGGTGTGAAGTCCAACCCCCCCAGTTCTGCTCTCACAGCTCATGCCCAGTGCTGCCTTTCCAAAGGCAACCACAGCCAAGCGAGTGAATCACAGCAGCATCATCCACATCCATCTGAGCAGTGTCAGTATTCCTGGGGTTTTATCCTTACCATGGTTCAGTATCCATCCCTGAACACTCAGGAACCCCCAGCCCCTTCCCCTGACAGCTCAGAGCTTTTACTGTTTGGATGAACCCTCCAGCAGGAACAGCCTCACTTAATATTTAATGACCAAGACAACCACAGTCAGAAATTCCAGTCCCCAAGCTCTTAAGATGTGGAGCTCAGCTGAAAAATCTGGATTTCAAAATTAGAACTACCCCTCCTGGGCTTGAAATATTTACCCCAAATACAGAACATGCCAAAAACCTCTGCAGGGGTGTCCAGTCTGCCGAGCATGGAGCACCCATGGCTTGTGCTCCAAACCCAGCAAGGAAGGCAAAACAAAGAGCACAGAGACACTCAAGGGAAAAGCAGGAGCAAACCATAAAAGCCGGATATGGAATGAGAATAAACCCCACAGTATGGCCCAGCAAACAACGGGAGCCTTTTCCTGGCTCCCTGCTCTGCCTGTGGAACACGACAGGGAGAACAAATCCCAAAACAACCAGAGCAAGGACAAGGGAAGAGGACACAAAGCCAGGGCAACAAGGCGGGGTTGATTCCAAGGGCTTGGTTGTGTCTGAGGGCTCAGCACGGGCACTGCTGCCCTTGGAGCAGAGATGGCCCTGCCCAAAGTGGGCTCTGAGGGCCCAAACACTCCTCAGCTCCACGAATCCTCCCAGCCTCGGCCATTCCCAGCTTTCCACAAAATCCTCAAGCACACGAGGGCCCCTCCACCCAAACCTGACACTCTCCATGAGGCAGAGGAGCCCGGGAAGCCCTCAGGGATTCGGGAGCCCCTCAAGCCCGGCCAGGCCTCAGGCAGGGCCCGGCGGCCTCACTCAAAATGTTCCCAAATACCCAAAGCGTGACACTGTGAATTCAGCCACTGTCCCCATTCCCTTCAGCAGTGTCCCCGTCGGTCTCACCCCGCAAGATCTAAACTCTGATCCCTCACACTTTGGATGGAATCTCTCCAAAGCCCTCGTGCCAGAGCTGCACTTTTGCCCGCATTAAGCGTCGCCCTTTTGATGCTGGGGGCAGCAGCAAACGCCATTAGAGGGGTTTTGTGTGGGCCTTGGGTCACCTTTGTCCCTTTGCCAAGCACTGGAGTGAGGATTAATCCGTGGAGTAATTGCAGAGCTCTGAAATCTGCCCGGCCAACCTCTCCCATGGCTTCGTCCCCTCAGCGCCGCTGCCAAGTCCGTGTCACAAAGGAAAAGCCATTAGCGGGCAATTACACTGCAGCAGGATTTCCCAGCTAATGAGGATCGCCAATTCAAGAGGAGCTGCGGCAAGGCTGAAGGAATAATGAGAGAAAGGGGATGGGAGTTTCTGTAATCCCGACAGAATGAGAAACAACCATGGAGGGAAAGAAAACCATCTGCTGGAGCTGTGCTGGGGCCACAGCCACATGTGGGTGTTTGTCACAGCAGCAATCCACAGTTAACTCCATTTTGGTGAAAAACTCCTTTTTATCGACAACAGGTTACTGCAACAACCCCTTCCCAGCAGGGTCAGTACCTTCGGGTGATCCACCAGCTCCTGGCATCCTGTCTGCCATAAAAACACCCTGTGCCATAAAAACAACCTGTGCCACAAATCCACCAATGCTTCCTGGAAATCAGAACTTCCTAGACATCAAGTTTACTCCAGCACCTTATTTTTTGTTTAGCCCAGGAGCTCAACTCAACTTAGGGAATGTATCTTTACAGTACCAAAAATGCAAGTGGAAAAAACACGTGTATAAATGCTGCCTTCTATTTGATGGCAAAGTGCAGTTCCAGAGTTTGCCATTCCATAGAGTCGTTGAACCACTAAGGCTGAAAAAGAACCTTTCAGATCATCAAGTCCAAGACCAACCCAACAGCACCAGATATTTTGGAAAAATACCTGCTGGCATGGCCCTCCTTTGAGTGCAGTGGGATGGAGCTCTGGAACAGAAATTACCTGATCCCTGCTCCAGGGCAAGGAAACATAGCTCAGGACAAGGCAATTCCTCCCTGGACGGAGAAATTCCCCTGTACACTTACCTGTGAGGGCAAGACTTGTCTGAAACTGTGAGAATTCCGTAAAAACCAGCCCAAGGACTGCTTGTGCCCTTCCCATGGCATCCCCTCCTTCTCCTGGGACTGTGGCACAGCCACCAGGGCTTCCTTGGATCTGTCTATACCACATCATCTTTTCTTGCTACTTACAATTTTTTTCTACTCAGCTGGCTGAGCATGGCTTGGGATCTTTCAGCCACTGTGGTGAAAGGTGAGGTTAGGTAGAGATTTGTCCACGTGATAGAATTCCAGCAGTGGACCAGCAACCTCAGTTTAATCTTTGTTTAGTCCAGCAAAAACACTTCTGACATAAATCAAAGGCTTTGGGGTCAAGGACTAATAAAGCAAGAAAGTTAAAGACATCAAAACATTATTTCCCTTTAAAAGAGCACTGAAAAAAATCAAGGCTTTATTTGAATAAATGTTACACAACATTCTTTATCATTTTTACTTCTCAGCAAACCTTAAAGGGTGAATCAGATTTTTCCTCATTCAAGTCTACAAAATGAAAGAGGCATAGTGACCATTCAATATACAGACAAGAAGGTAGCACGGAGCAAAGCTTAAATATTAAGCAACTAAAGCAAAAAAGTGAAAAGCAATACATTACTGTCACTCTCTCTCATTAGAATATCCCTGACAATTTCATTTCCAAATGAAAATGTGGTTTCCAACGCAATGCTGGGAAAAGCAAGGCAGACATGAGCTCCCTTGGATGCT